ATCGCTATTCCGGATAACTGATTTTTCCGGTTTTCTGAATCGCTACAAAAAGCCGTTTTTTTTATTGTTAAACCCAACTAAAAAAAAAAAAATTGGAAATAATCTTAAAAATAAGAAAAATCGATGAGGTAATACACTAATGATTATTTCTGAAATGATGGTAAGGTAAACATCTTTCAAAAAATAAAGAAAAATCCCAAAATCTTATGAGGAAAAAAAAATTTTATTTTAAAAATTGCGGGAAAATTTATCGAATTTCGTTCCGGTTTTTTGGTTTTCCGGTTTTCTGATTTCCGGATAACGGGTTCTGTACTGTAATTGATTAAATCTGAGATTATTATAACAAGCTTGGTATACTGTGTTCCTAGTTTTTTAAGTTTGATTTCTTTGCCATGAGTCAACAAGAAACATACATCATTTTTGCCATATTTTTTAAAACTCTATTCAGGACACTAAAGAAAGAAAAGAAAAAAAGGTGAAAACTAAATAAATAAGAATGTCATGAAAGTGGTGTTTCTTTGTACAAAGAATAAAAATGCAGCTAGAGACAAAGAAAAATTTATTGACAAAAATTTATGATTTTTTTTTTAATTATTAGTCCAAGATAATGAAATTTTTAAGCATATTAAAAAAACTATTGTAGTTTACAAATTATGTATTAATTTGACTTTTTTTTTTTTACAATATAATGTATTTAAATGTATAATGCATGTAATTTACATTTTTAAATCAGGTCACTTTTTTTAACAGACTTGTATAAAATATGTAACCAATCATGTTACATAATTTAAAAGGCATTTGATTTTTAAATGTTACATATTAAAAACAATAAGCATTACAAGATATTTGAAAACTAGACAAAAGCATAAATGAAAAAATATAAACTAAGTGCCAATAAAAATGAATAAATCCAAAAAAAAAATTTAATTAAGTGCATACAAACAACCAAATAAACAGAGTAATGTATCAAATTCAATGTAAACAATAATTCCTAAATAGAAAAATATAAACTTATAGGAAAAATTAATCACAAGTATTAATTTCGAAAAAAAAAAAATAAATCAACAGAGCAAGTACATAAACTTTTAATTTGTAGGTCAGAAAACAATAATCACAACATGCAAAAACAAGAGTTTTCAAAAGCTCTAAACAAAATATGCAGTGCAATATCAGAGGTAAGGTCAAATGCTTTGAACAAATATAAGGTGGGAAGAAAATACTGAAAACACAAATATGATATAGAAAAACAACAAATATAAAAATATTTATTTTGATTACTAATAAATTAACAAATCCCAACTACAGGTAGGTAAACACATGCAGTGCAATGTCAAACACAAAACTTAAAACGTAACACCCAATAATGTTAATTGTACATAAACGCAGATGAAACTTACATCAACTTTTGATGTATGTGTCGAACTTAAAATTTCAACAAAATAAAATTTTTAATACAATTACTTCAAATCATAAAAATAACAAGATTTTGACTTGCGTTCCAGGCAAATTACTGTAGGAACAATTTTGTCAGTAATATTTTCAATGCACTGTGCAACAGAAATTTAATAAATAAATTATTAGCACGTAACTTAAATTTAAAACTAATCTATAAATGCGGAAAAAACCAATAACAGCAATTGAAGCTTTAAAGATGCTGCATGCGACAAGGAGCAGCACCCTTAAGCTTTATTATTATAAAATTGGAAAGATACGGGACAAGGGAGAATATGTTATGTTACTCACAGAGTATCAATTATAATCATTTAACATTCCCCATAGATACAAACATTTCCTTTTTCATAAAAGTTTTAATTCATTGTCCATTCTTTTCTTATTTTTTTTAAAAAAGAAGTGCACAATGTAAAATAGTAGAACATTAAATTGAAATCTTTTACCGATAAAAGATATTTCAAAACTATATTAATCAAAGGTGAAGTTAAAATATCTATATGAATGAATTAAAAATATTTGACAAAAGTTGTTTAAGTATGTATATTTGTTTTAAGATATTCTTAAATTAAACATATTATTTAAATAATCAACATCTTGGTTGAGTGCAAGTTTAAAGAAATTAGCTAAATTTTAAGTCATAAATTACTTTAAATTTTTTATCATTTAAAAAGTAATTACAAAATTTTTTTAAGATTTGAAAAAAAAAGTAATGAAATTTTTTTTTTCACTCAAAAAAGCTTATTTTTTACGGTCAATCATAATTTAATACCGAATAAAACATAAACTTTACTATCCTAGTTAATGCCATATATAAAACTTGGGAAATTTAAATACTTCTTATTAACAAAATAAATAAAACTAAAAATAATAACCTTCATTAATTATGGTCCAATTAGTAAAAAAATAAACATTAAAAGAACTTTTGTTCAGCTTAGTAACAGTACAAACATTGACAGGAATTTCAATATGCAAATTCATTTTTTAAAATCATAAATGCAATACTTATTTTCAATTTTATTACATGCATAATTACTCCTACAAATTATAACAATACATTTTTAAATCAAGCATGTTGCACAGCAAACATATCATTATACATGAGTGAATTTGTAAAATCCTGTTATAAATTAAAACATTTTTTTTCTCCTTAAACTATTAAATTAAAATAATTTTTTTTATTATATATAAATAAAAAAAAAATTTCAGATAAAAACAAAAATTTTGCAGTAATTTGCACATTTTTATTTATCTTCTCATGTTTAATAACTATTTCTTTTACAGAGTATGCTAAATATTTTAAAATAATTATAAAAACTAATTAAATATTAAAAAATAGTATTTACAGAACTAGTATTGTTTTACAAAGAGATCATTTAAGATAATTCTGACAGATTTTTCTTTCTTCAATGAAATTTTAAGCCTTTATGTTCATTCAAGTTGACTCAGAGCTTTAAAAAATAGAGATTTTGAATTTTAGATACATAACCCATTTTTATGAACTTTTATTTCACCAGCAAATAACTGATATTATTTTTTTGATAATCAAATTTCATCTCTTTTGAATACATGATACAATATGAACTTTAAATATATAGATATGATATACATAAGAATTCACATATTATACACAGATACAACTACCAGTTACGTTCAGTTTCATAGTGCTCACAAGTTCATTACAACAAATAGGAAAATCCATAATGCATAGCTTTTTTTTTGTATATATATATTAACAAAAGCCAATATAAGATGAATCAGGCAGTATATAGATCACATAATAAAAATAGTTTCTTATTATACAAAAACATATCTACCAAACAGAACAGTTCTACGATCAAAAGAGCATAAGTGAATAATTTGTACGCAGGAGGAAAAGTAGAATAGCTTAAATTACAGTTCGACTTAAGGTTTAATACGTTTACGTGGAGGTCCTATTTGTGGAATTTGCTGAGTAGCAAGAGCTCTAAAGGCATCCGCTACAAGATGGGGGTTCGTAGTCAACATAGTCTTCCAACCTTGAGTTTCCATGATTTCTGTTGCATGCAAATTCAAGAAATCTATTACATGTGCTTTTAGTTGATCAGCGCTATGCATGTCTGCTAAAATTAAAACTTCAGCAGCAGTGTTAATATTAAGATTTGAACAGATATGTTCCTCACACATTACTTTTAGTCTATCTAGAGCATATTTGTCAGCAGCAGCAAGCAAATCTTCAGCCATATTTTCAATATTGTTAACTTTACCAGTATATATATAATGTAACATCTCTCTCAACACTTCATGATCCATATCAGTTATTTCAACTCTGTTTTGTTTCTTTTCTTCCATTTCATGCTCAAACATAGCACAAAATACAGGGGAGCGGGCAGCCAAAATTGCTTTATGAGCGGCAAATTCTCGTCCGTTCACACTCAAGATAACATCGCTAAATTTTGAGCCTTCGAATAACTGGCCAAAATCATCTGAAAGATGACACTCAGGAACTTTGAATTGAATAGCACTGTTTTGACCAGATATATTTATTGAATCAGCAACCACACTTACTTCACAGTATAAAGTTAATTTGTCATCGGGCAGGAGTCCATTAGCTTCATCTAAAAGAAAATCTCTACGAATGAATTTTTTGAACCCCCAATCTTTACCTTGTACAAACCTGTATGCTCGTTGACTTTCCATAGCCTTTGTTTCTTCTTTCCTTGCATTTAGAATGGAAAATTTAAATTTCGCTCTTACTTCCGTTTTATTACAAGAGACTAGAAGTAAGTACAAAGAAAGATAATCTTTGCTTTCTTCATCAAGGCCTTTGGGGTTAACCCGAAGGCACCATTTAAGCTTATCATTATTACCAGCAGAGAATGTTGAACTTTTCAGGACTTCTCCCATTTCTTCTCTACTATAGCTAAAATTATTAATTGTCCACATAAACGAAAATTTTATTACCTTTACTTGGGTATAGCACCAACTTTCAGCAACTGATTGCGTTGCTTCAGATTGTGGTGTAGGAGGTGGCGATGGTACACGAGTCAACGCCATTGTGGCAGTCGCTCATGCAATTGATTCAACGATATAATAAATATTTTTGATAAAAATACTTAGATTTGGTGGACAAAGAACTTTTTCGATCAAAAGAGGGCAAACATCAAAATCAGGGTCAAACAAAACACATCTGTTCCTTTCTAAAGTTGCAGTAGTAGTACTTACTTAACCGAAATTCCTTGTTCCAGAAACAACAAATGAGGAAACGCGGATACTCGAGGTTATAATGTCAATGACACCATTGGGCGAAACATTCAGAGCGGACTAATTTATTTTTTATTTAGTTTTTGATTGCTAAATGTAGATTCTTCTTTAACATTTTATCTTTGTAAATCACTTTCTAAACTTAAAATATAGCGAAATAACCAATAAATTCAGAAAGAAAAAAACTTCCAAGAACAGCAAAATTTTTGAAAATGAGGAACCAATCATAAATAAGCAATCCCTTTCACTCTTATTGTTTACTCCAATAGGAATCACAGATAGTATGAACAGTACTTTTAGTGAAACTCCACTTTGCAAAGTAAAATCACATTTTTAACTGAAACATAAACTAAAAATCTGGCAATATCTTTGTGGTTTCTGTATTTATATTTGATTTTATATTTACATTTTGAGAATTAAAGACTTGTAATTTTCTATAAAACTACTTATTACTTTAACAGCTCTTCTGTTTTTACAGAAAAGAAGTAATTTTGTGAACATATTTATGAATTTCTGCTAAAATGTCGAAATATATTGATATGAAATGCCGTGCTTTGTTTTAAACTTTTGATAATTTTTATAGATGTTTATTTAATTGCGAAACTGTTTCACTACTAATACTGAAAGTTTGGTGTCTTTTATTATATTTAGTGATGCTTTTAATATGTTATAGATATATAATATGTTATAGATAAGAGAAGCAATAATTATCTATTAAAGTATCTTTACAAGATACTGAGCTTTGAAATTCTCCGGCATAAAATATTAGGCACTACTGGCAAAAAACCCTTGTGATAAAAAAAAATATTTCGTTATAGAATTTTTCAAAAACCTAATGGTTGTAAGTATAGCATAAATTTAAAGTAGTTATGGCCCTTATTTTCCTTGCACGCTTTAGTTTTTTATCAAGTGCATATGAAATATTTAGGAGAGATTTCCGTATCATGATCTGTGGTAGATCAATTGCCAAGTCTTGGAAACTTCTGGCAAACTAAAAAAAAATTCTCAGAAAGTGATCAACTCTATAAATATAACTCGTAGCCACCCCTGGACAAACATTTACATGTTTTTTTAATTTTTTTTTAACAAAAAGTATAAAATCTATTTTGCACCCCTGCAGCAGAATTTTTTCGAGCTATTTGCAACAAAGCTCTCTAGCACTAACATCTTTCTGCAAGATACTTTTAATTATAACAAATATGTTAGTAATTTTAAATAACAAAATCGTTGTGTTTATTGAAAAAAAACTTTTTATTGAAATTTTTTTTTATTTAGCATGTAATAATTTTTTATTCTGATATTATGAGTGATATTCTCGCATTGTTTTGGTGGGAGGAATGCACAAATTATTTATTCTTCACATTCTGTAAATAATCATCACAATAAAAATAATAATTAAAAATCAAGAAATCAGTAAGTAGTAATTGCCGAATAAAAGACAGACGGCAAAATCACGCAAATCGGTCTCCTCAAATGAGTGTTTCATTTTAAAATTAGGTTGTTGTAATAAATAATATAGTATAAAAAATATCGGATTTAAAAACTATGGAGAATTTAATAGCAATAACTGCCAAAAATTTGATTGAATTATTACCTTATAATGTAAATACTCAAATGCAACACTCGAATTTTCCATATTGTTTAAATCTCGGGATATTTTAAATCGACGTTAAAATCAATATGAATTACTGCCGAAAATACAATCGAAACATAACATCGATTTATGATACAATCGGCATAAATTGAGCGTGTCAAAAAGTGATTATCTAAATGCATGATTCAAATAATACATGTAAATTTCTGTAGAAAAGATAGCTTTTTACTTTTCAAAAGAAAAATCTTACTGCAAGAATTCCGTAACGTTCTGCGACAATGTCGCCGTGTCGCTGCAATTCTGCTATGGGGTTTGGCACCTTAGCGATTGTTGTTCGAGCAACAGATCATGATACGAAAAATATCCCCAACAATTTTGTAAATCTTATTCATCAGAAGAAAAAACTCTCGATTATAATGCAATAAGAAAATTTCCATATCGATACCATGCCAAAACAATTTATTAATAGCTGAATATTGGTGACTTTGAAGAATGACTGGGCAATATATTAATACATCGTGAAATATCGATTTAATGTTTACATCATTATGTCTACATAGAGATTTTCGTTTCCAGTGAAGCATCGTAACACTGACTTCCGCCGCCAATCTATGGAAATTCACATTCGAAGACCCTTGCCTATACTAATATTATTACTCCACTGGCGAAGACAATTTTCATTTCATCTAGCTACGAAGATGCTATTGTTTTCGTTTAGCTTTGTTGATTTTGTTTGTTTTGTGATATTAAATGACGCGGAGCGACTTGAAGAAGTTGTGGTTTTGTGTGTTAATAAGCGTAGAATGTAAACTTTTTGCATCTTTTTTTTAAATCAAAATTTTACTTTTATTGAGGATTATTTTCTAAGGGACTTCTGTAACTTTGCAATTCGTGTGCATTATTTTGCCAAAATTCAGCAATATTTCTTCTTTAATTATTTTTAGAGGTATTTTTGGTATTTTGTGATCAGCATTTTCTTTAACATTGCATTCACTGTACATTTTCTTGTCTGATCTCAATTTGTTATGAAATATATATATATATAAGAAAACTCTTAGTTTTTTAGTTAGCAGTATTATTATTTTTGAAAATTCAAAACGCAGCATGTATTTATTTTTTTGTTATTCAACATTTTCAATCAAACTTTATTATTTGAAATTTTTTTTTTCATCTTTTGAGAAACAAATCTTGGTACTTTTCCGTCAGCCGGGTGTAAGCGAAAAATCGCCAGATAATGTAGAATTCCAACAAATTTCGTACAACTCTAAGGGGAATGTTAGTTTGGGTCCATGTGCTCTATTCTCTGAAGTCATTAAAAAAAGCGTGTTTTTCTTTCTTGCTTCCATCTTAATTTTTGTTTTAAAAAATGATGAAAATTTGGGAACCGAAGAAGATGCAGTCTCTTTTTTTCACGAGAAAGGTCAAGTCTCAAAAATTTTGAAAGATTTCACCATATTCTGGAAAAACCAATTATTATAAGCATTCTTTTGGGGTAAAACTGTTTTGTTTACAATTCATTACTATTTCTTTATAGTTGAACTTGTTTTGCTTACAATTAAATTATATTTGTTTATAGTTGAAAGTTTTTGACTTTTATTCCATTGATTGTTTTGTCATTTTTCTCACGTTTGGTTCCCAATTGGCGACATTTGCTCCCGGCTAACGGAAAAGTACCCATTTCTTTTAATATTTATTCTTTAATGTTATTTCTTTCAATTTTATTTAATATTTATTAGTGTTAGGTATTCTTATAGTTTTTTCTTAATTTAAGAAAAATTTATTTTTTTATTTCTTTTATCTGTATTTTTAATCTTTTTTAAAAATTTTTTTAATGCTATACATCTTTAGCTGTTTTTATTAACAAAAAAATAAAAAACGATTTTGCTGTAATTATTATTATAATTTTTTTTTTAAGAATTCAGCTCTTTGTTAAATGACTAATTATGACTAAAATTGCGTTTTCTCCCCCAAATAATTAAGAACTTTGTTTAGAACTTAAATATACAATTACTTTGTTTATTCATTTTTAAAAGATTTCTTATAATACATGTAAGTAAAATATTTTGATGTAGTTTATTATTTTTTAAACTATTAAATTTTTAGTCATTGTTATTTTTAAGAAAAAATTAAAGCAAAGCTTAGGCTTTTTTTATTTTTGGAATTCAGTCTTAAGTCAATCTATCTTTAATATTTTAGTTAAAAAGATTAAGAGATGTTATAGATATTTTTAAAGCATTTTTTTACTAATTTTTGTTATAGATTTGTTTCTTTTATTTATTTTAGATTGATTTAAGATTTCTGATTGTGTAATTTTTGATTCAAAAGAAATAATTTATGAATGTAGGTTATATTGCAATATCTAACATAGGATACATCACAATATAGAATTTCTTACTTCGCCTTGTCCTTCCAAGTAATGGCCTACAAGAAACTGGGGGAAAAATTTCATTGAAAAGGAAAGACCAACTCAAACAGTCTAGCTCATTACCACCCCTGAACGAACATGTACATAGCTTCTTAGGTACATAGTTTCTTAGGTTGTTAATGTAATCCAAATCAATTCAGCTGGGGTTTTTTTTAAAAACAATTTTTTTTTATTTAAATAAATATAAAATGAAAACATTTAAAACAAATAAAGGAAATAGTTAATTTTACATGTTCATGCAAAATGGATAAGTATCTTTTTTAAAAAAAATTTTTGCAATTCCTAAATCAATTTTAAAGGTTTTGAAAATTCCTTTGGTGCCTTGCGAATAGTAGTTGCTTTGAACAGGTATTGGTACAGTAATGTTCGCAAAAACTATTACTAATTTTCTTAATTACTTATTATTTAAATATTTTCATCGTTTTTCGTATATACCTTATATTTATTAAAAAGAAAGTCGATATTCAAAACAAGAAGGCAATATGAATGATTTAAAATATACTTTCTTCAATAAAAAATAAAGGCATATCCATATTTGTACCTGTTCCCACCTACTGACATTGCTAATACGCCAAATAGTTTTTGTACTTGCAAAAAAATTTTTTTAATGTCATTTGACTATGGGCAGCCCTCTTCTACAGTTGGTCCCCTTCTATGATTATTTTTTTTCAGTTTCTCACTTGTTGCCAAAATTTGGCAACTTTTTTTTGGTACAGAATCTTTGACCCAATCGTTTGATATAGAAATGTCCTTTTCCAACCAATAGTGGAAATATTTTGTTCGTACATATATCTAGGCAACGGCACATACGAACTTGAAAAGTAAAACTTGTGACCATTGATAGACAAACTATTGTATATTTTACAATAATTTATTTGAAGTAAAAATGCCAATTTTTTTTTGGTGTTTTGGCGGTTTTAGGAACTCATATGAAAGTGGACTAATAAATAGGAACTACTCTGAAAATTTTTTCAATTTGTTTTAGGAAAAATTTGTGCAGTGCAAAAGTGGGTAGTTTTCCCAAACAGGTGCCAAAATGGGAATTTTCTCTGGTTTTTAAAGTATTTTTAATGGTGCAGGCCTCTAAGAAAATATCATTAGGAACCTTTAATAAAAATTTTTCAACAGAGCAAAAAAGTTAGATGTACTCTTTTTATATTCTTTATTTATTTTTCAGAATGAAAGACATAAATTTACCTTGGACAATTCCAGCTTCTGGAAGTTCTGACCAAGATAATATCCTTTTTTTTATTTCAGACATTTTAATTTTTATTTTATTGTATTATTGGTACTTATCGGCTGTATGAACCATATGTATGTGTGTCTATGTATGTATATATATATTCTTTCTACTCTACAATAATGGAAGAGACACTTTCATATTTTTTAAAATTTCTCAAGAAATACTTAAAGGACTATTTTGTAACAACTGCATAGAATTTCATAAATCTAGCTTACATATTTATGGAGATATGAACTTTTTTAAAAACTACTTTTTATATTTTATGTTTTTTTGCTGTAACTTTAAAAGTATTCAGTAAAAGTAAATAAAATATTTGGAGCAATTTGAAATTAATAGCAAAATTATTGTTTTAAAATTTGAAAAAGAATATTAAAAAATGTGCGAGATATGAGTATTTAAAGTGGATCTTTTGTAATTCGCAAGCACGGAAAAATTTCAAATTTTTTTATCACGATTTTATAGTGAATCGTATTTGGCAACTAATGGAAAATTTTTTATTTAAATTGATAAGGGATTTTTCACAAATTGAAAATTACACTACTTTATAATACCCAGACAAAAAGAGCAAAATTTTAGAGTTGCTTATTGTTTCGAGCTTTCTCTTATAAAGTATAAAAATTACTTATAAAAAATTCCTTAAAATTTTTAATCCCCGTAAGCAGAATCACGGCGACATTGTCGCAGAATGTTGCATAATTCTTGCAGAATGATTTTTCTTTTGAAAAGTGAAAATAATTATTTTTCTTCAGAAATTTACACGTAGTATTTGAATCATGCATTTAGGTAATAACTTTTTGATGCGGTCAATTTACGCTGATAGTATTGTAAATTGATGTAATGTTTAGATTGTATTTTTGGCAGTTATTGATATTGATTTTCATGTGGATTTTAAATATCCCGATATATTTCAAACAATATGGAAAACTCGAATTGTGCATTTGAGTATATACTTTTAAAGGCAATGATTCTATTGAATTTTTGGCAGTTATTGCTATTGATTTCTCCATAGTTTTTAAATATGATATTTTTACACCATATTATTTATTACAACAGCCTATTCTCGAAACGAAGCACTCATTTGAGGAATCCGATTCGTGTGATTTCAGGGTCAATCTTTTTTCTGGCAATTACTACTGTGGATTTATTTTTTTATAAAACTGTTAATGTATCGCTATAAATATTTAAGCTAGATTTACAAAATTTTATGCAGTTTTTGCAAATAACAAAGTAATTGATACGAGTAACAAGCTTATTGCTTGATTTTCTGGCATAGGGTAAACAAAATACTTGTCTTTTTAAATAAAAATACTTGTCTATTTAAAAATTAAATTATTATCAAGGTGATAATATTTTAATTTTTGCTTTTTCATAAATGCATTACAATTTGTTATTTATGTGTTATGTTTATTACAGTAAACAAAATGAAATGTAAATTTAAGTTAATACTTTTCATAGTTTTAATAATTAAGTGAATTATATCGTATGTTTATTACTTGCAGAATTATTAGTTCTAATGAAAATACAGAAATGGCCATACTATAGTTTCGGTTCTATAAACAAAAACCTTACTTGGTGTCTAAGCACCAATTAATGGCAGAGAAGTAAAGAGACAAATGTAAAAGGGTTTAACCTATAGATGCAAAAAAACAGGTTTGAACAACTTGGTGTCTAAGCACCAATTAATAGTAGAGAAGTAAGGAGACAAATGTAAAATGGTTTAACCAATAGATGCAAAAGAACAAGTTTGAACAAAATAATAAAAAAGAGAGAACAAAAAGATGTGTGAAGGAATTTGGTGATAAAACCATGGTGCAATAGATTAAATTAGAATAAACTTTCAAATAATAAACAAAACCATAATAGAAAAAGATGGGATGCTAGAAATATCATTTACTAAATTATTAGAATTTTTCAAAATATGGAATGACTCCCAAAAGTTAAGTTCGATAGTGATGAGCAGTGTTGAACGATTTTAAAGGAAGCTTTATTGATTCATGTTTTTTTTTTTTACTTTCTTGATTTATGATTTTGAAAATATATGATAACTCAATTTTAAGTGTAAATTTTCTTAACTTAATTTTACTGGAGCCTGCTACTACAGGAGAAGAAAAAATATTGGACAATTCTGTTATTAAGGTGATTTTCAAGGAAGAGCACTTTTTTAAGTAAGTAACAGGTAAAATCTTCATGATGAATGCTAATTTTTTTCCCTCTTCTTTTCTAATGAGTAACTTGTATTTTCTTATTTATTAGGAAATATAAATCGAAAATTGAACACTTCTTCAAAGAACTTTTGGAGGAGAGTGGACAACTTGTTATTGAACATGTAAGTAATTAATGTTTATTCATCTTTCTTTCTATATTTTTATGCTCACACACAATTGCAATGCACACGCATGATCGTCCGTAACACTTGTTGGAGTCGGAAGGTACGAAACAACGGTTGCAGAATAAACATAAAAAAATGGATTAATAGGGGGTATGGTCCCCTGTTACAGATATACAGGCCTTCCAGTTTGATTTCATTCTTGAAATAAGGCAGTTTATCATTTCCTGTGGCATTTAGTCCCACTCGCTCAGCAACGCTGTTTTCATTCCCTGGAAGGTTCTCTTCTTAGGTAGCAAGTTGCTATTGCCCTCCCCAGAGTGTCCCAGACATGCTCTATGGGTCTAGGGTTGAGATCTGACTGTCCAATCCATCCGGAGAATATCCTCACTCTCTAGAAATTCGTAGACCAGAAGAGCTCTATGTGGCCTCACGTTATCGTCCATTAAAATGAACTCAGGGCCAACTGCACCCCGGAAAAAGTGAACATAATGCTCCAAGATCTCATCCCTATACCTCATACCAGTCGCAGAGCCTCTTTCAAAGACAAGGAGAGGTGTGCGACCATCCAACATGATGCCTGCCCAGATGGCGGCTCTGCCATAATGGTTGATTTCGCAGACATTGGAGGATAGGTAGCGGGTTCCTGGTTCTCTCCACATGAACATACGGCGAGAATTGATGTTTAGGCTGGACTGGGTCTCATAAGTGAAGAGAGCCCATTAATCCGTACTCCAATCTCTATGCTCTCTGCACCATGCTGAATGAACTCTCCTGTTCGTAGAATTTAACAGGGCGCAAACAGCAGGTCTAGCAAATAAACTTCTATCATAAAGTCATTTGGAAACAGTCGACCTTGATACATGGGTTCCTATGGCTGCATACAAGTCACAAGAGAAGCCCCTCTATTACGCCTTGCTACAAAAGACAAATGGTGATCTTCTCTGGCCGTCGTGGCTCTTGAACAACCTTGCCTAAACTTTCTCTCGATGGATCCGATATCCTGGAACTGTTTCCATAAGTTACACACCATGTTGAGCCTAAAATTGAACTCTTTACAAATCTGGACTTGAGATTGGCCTGCTTCTAGCCTCACAGCAATTCGCCACCTCATTCCATCATCTAAACATTGGTGTTTATTCATTTTTACTGTTACAATTAGAATTTAACGTATTTCTGCAAAATAATGCCAAGATATTCGTTGAGGTATGTTAATGAATGAAATGTGTCTTAACTTGCACACACTTATAAAGCCTATTTCTCTACTGGCTGCGCCTACACAAACGTGTACACTTACGTATTTGATGTACAAGATTTGCATATATGTCTAGAAGCAGTGGTTTTGCATTCAGTTCTTTTCATGAAATTCGATAAATATGCAAATTCTCTTAATTTCACCAGTGAATATATATACTAATATATTACCCTATTTTCTAGTTTAGGAGACTCCCTATTGTGTGAGACAATATAAAGACTGTTTCTAACCTTCAATTTTAAAATGAAAATAGTTGATTTGGTGTATAAATCTGCTCTTAAATTCACACGTGTTGAAAATAAAATTTTCTTTAAACTGCAAAAATGTAGAAAAATTTACATTTTTTTTCCAGATAATTTTTCCAGTAACTAACAATTAAGGTATAAAAAAAGTACGAATTTCCTATACAAGAAGTTTATTCAACATAATATGGTTAAAGTAAAATTTGCTCTTATAGTTTTAATGCAATTTACCTCAATTTGCCTCAAACTTTTCCATTAATTTTTTTTAGTTAAATTTTATCGTAATATATTTTTTATTTTAAAGCTTGTAGCAGTTTAGTGAAAATTATTGAAACAATAACAAATTTTATTTTATTATCTTCAATGGATAGCTTATTAAATTTTTTTGTGAAAAATAATAGCATTGACCTCCATATCTTTGTAGTTTAGCACACAATTTTAGGCCGAATTTGCTTTTGCGCATGACTTTTCAAATAAAAGTTCTCTACATTTGTGTTTTAATGAGTGAAAACTGTTTAATCCTGTTAAAAATTTGTTTTGAGTCCAGTATGGTTATTTTTACTACAACAATGGATATTTGTAATACCACTATGGATATTTTTTCCAGCATTGAGATCACTGTGCAGTTTGTTAGCATTCATTATGTGTCAAAAAATAGATTGTGAAGGACACTCAAAATGTTTTAGAGAGAGTTAACTTATACTTGACAAATTTTCTTTTTTTTTTTTAATTTCTTCAAAAAAATTTAAAAAATTGCCTATATAAATCAGTGTTATGATTATTATTGCTAAGAAAGGAATATTTCGCTTGGCATTAATTCATTTTCTGAAAGACATACATGTCAGATTAAAAACATAAGCTATATTGGTTCTTTTTATGATTACTAAAATTTAATATTTGTTATTTTTTTTAATCATAAATTAAGGCAAGCATTTATAAGCTTGTTTAATTTTTATTGCTTATTAACAAATAACAGCAAAATTGAGCTCTTGTTGATTTATTTTTCAGGAATTTGAAAAACATGATCATTCATTTAAAGCTCAGGGAAAGAAACATTCAGATCCAGACACGGTACCTTTGTATCCTTTTAGTTGATATATTATTTTCTTTATATTTATAGCTTTGAGTAATGAGGATAATGCTCGGTACTAATGTAATTGCTGATACAAATAGTTTTGTGTTAATAGCACAAAACAAATAGTCGTGTGTTAAAAAAAACTATTAGTAACCGTAATTATGTGTCAGTATCAAAATCTTGCCACTGTTTAAAAGTTATTGTACTTATTTCAATATAGTATATTGTGCCTTCATAAATTGAATTTGTTTTTGGTTAAAGATATTTAATACAATGTATTTGCCGATCCAGAATTGCCTGATCCAGAGATTGCCTGATAACCAGGGTTGGGTTTTTGACGTCAAAAAGTGGTTTTTGACATGACAAGGGTATAATACTGGTTTAAACCGTCAAAAACCCGTCAAAAATGTCAAAAACTAAAGTTTGCCAAAAAAATATATAAACTTCAAAACTACCAACAGTTGCCATGCATTATATTGAAATTTAATTATACTATAGGTAATCAGCAGGTTTTAAAATATTTTTTAATTAAAATTAAGGTAAAATAACAGATTTAAAATCTCAGAAATTTATATTCAAATGCATGTGCAGAAAAATTTTGCACAAAAATTGCTTAAATATTTATACTTAAAATTTTTTTTTTTTTTCTTTTTGATACTTAAGAAAATTAAAAGTTTATTACTATGCATTTTTGACATATAAGGAACATATAACTAATATTTATAAGGAACTTACAAGTTATGTTGTATAAATACAAACTTGATACAAGTATATAAAAAAAAATTCTTAATGCTAGACCGAATATCCTTATTATCCTGTATGTTAATTTGAATTTAAAAGTAGTTATATTTATGAATAATGATAAATATAATTCATATTGTTTATTATATTTATTTATAATTATTACACTTATCATTTTAAAACAATTTTTATCTCTTAATTTTTTTTTCTCCACTTGTATTAAGAATACAAATAATGCATATCTTGAAAGCAAGAAGTAATTATTCAACAGCTGAATATTTAGATATTCAACAAAACTATATAGTATTCAGCAAAATGAAATTCACAAGTATTTGGATAAACTAAATTTTCAGCATAGTAAATGAATAGGCTGAATATACTGTAAATCGACACTAACTACTCTGTGTATTTAACAGAAAGCACTTAAATTTGTATTGTCTTATGTTAAAAAGATTATTAAGAAGATTTAAAAGAATATTAAAAAGATTTTTCTTTAAAAGATGTCTAATGTACAAAACTGCTAATGTTTATCTTTAAAAATGTCTAATTTTTAGTATAATCTATACTATACACTAAATTTGGTTATAAATAAATTTCTTAATAATATCACTGCAGATTTTCAATAACACATGAAAATGAATACATAATATTACAAAAGATGTGAGCTTTCAAAAGTACAAGATTTTGGTTACTATTCAAAATATAAGTGTTTCTTCAAAATTTTAAATTTATTTTTTCTAGAACATATTTAGAAACACTATCCTTTATAAAAAATATATAAATTTTATGTATTAATTAAATTTCACATATGAATATAGGTTTTTGACATTTTCGACATTTTTGACAGTGAGGTTTTTGACGTGACGGTTTAAACCATGGTTTAAACTGTCACATGTCAAAAACCTGCCAACCCTGCTGATAACATAAACCTCTTTGGAGGTTACACTTTGATGATTTCAAAAATCATTAATAGTTTTTATTTAATACCATCATATGGAAGGCAGCGTTTTTTTAAATGGTTTGTTCATAGTTTTAAGTGCTCAAATTAATTTATGCTCCTTCAATTATGAAATATCAAATTTATAATATATTTGAAATAGGCTCACAGTTTCATGGACATGGACCAGGTGTTTTCATTGTGTAAATCAAAATGTTATTTTATATTTCTTTTATTTAAATTAAGAGAAGAAATTAAAATCTAAATTTAATTTGAAGTTTAAGAAATTTTAATAGTTGATACAAAATATTTTCTTTGACATTATACAATCTTTAAATTGTCCTTATAAGACATTGTGTGTAGCATTTTCAAAAAGTACCTCATTTTCCCTTTTCCACAATGATCTATTTTATTTTTTTTATTACCACGTGGCTTTTCGCCATGAATCATACAAAAAGTGAGTTTTCCGCATTGTTCCATTCAACAATTTCACAATTCATTCAACCGCAATCAATTTTGGCGTACTGTCGGTCCATAGCTTATTGAAGCGCCAATCATTTTATACATTTGATGAAATGCTTGTAAAATAATAAAATAAAGAGTCTGTTTTTTGCATATACTGAGATTGATTCGATGGGAAGAATTCTTGCTATTTTATGTGCAACACTGCTGCATTTTGCAAAAGATTTTCCATTTTAGGCTTCCTTCTTCGCCCTCTCATTTGGAGTCTCTTGAATCTTTGCTACTTATAAAGACCAACTAAACATCCCCAAATTTTTTCCCCTAAAAGCAAAAGATAATTTTATTTCTCTTGTTAATTTCATTGTTGGTGAAGCGCCATCGTCTTCGTCACTGGTAAGCCAATAGCCTTCTCTCTTTTTTCTATTTATAGATCAATACCATAATCCTTAACTTTGACCTGAGGACTATTCACTAATTATGTATTTTCTCATAGGTTCAGAGTCTCATAGGTCAATGATCACAAAGCTTCCTTATCTCAAAATTTCCACCTCTCTTATATTCATTTAATTTAACAGAGATAATTAATTTAAATTTTTAATTGTAGTTTTTTTTACCTCAGGGATCGTCCTATAATTGCCTAAAATTTTTTAAACTTTTATTGTATTGTATTACTTTTTTTTACTTATTATTTTTTATTATTGTATTATTACTTTTAAAATTTTCCATGCACTAAAGTTGTTTTATTAAAAAAGTCAATATTTAGAGGCAAGATTTTTAAAAAAATTTTTAAGTAAGGGGCTTTCTCTATTTTAAATGCAGCAAAAACTCTTACGTTATTCAGATTTGTCATTCCAAAAAACTTTAATACATCTCTTAATGATTCGATTTAAAAACAATTGAAATAAAAAATTCAGTTATCTCAGATTTATTAAATATTATGAATGTAGGGACCATATAATAATTTATGTCTGACAAAAATGCTTAGCTTGAATACTCATTGTATTTACATTTCAAAATTGTTGATTTTTTTAGAAATTATTTCATTAAAGAAATACTCAACCAAGTTTTATGCCATTTGTCAATACTAACAAGCCTTTTTTAAGGCACCATTTTGTACACTGGCACCATTTTGTACCATTTTGTACACTTCAGCCGGCTGAACTCACGACCTCTTGGACATGTTAAACAAACTTTCATAAAAAATTCAATTGGGACAATTCACTAATTTACATTAGAATTATGAATTTATTAAAGTTTTCTTAGTTTGCTTAATTCTTTACATAATCTTTGTAAATTCAGTATGATCGATACTATTAATATTGTTAATGTTTTGTTGAATATGCTTTTATAAATAACTTTTATTTAAATCTAATAATACACTCAATAACTTTTTTAAATAATAGTTAAACTAATTATAATTTTGAAATAAAAATAATTTGTTACATAATTAAAGTAATCATTAATTGGAAAAGTCGAATGAGCCTCTCAATAATGATTATATTTAAAATTGTGCATAAATTGTTTTTATGCTTTGCTAATATCTTGGCCAAAGAATACCTAAGGAGGCCTTTCCATTTCAATTCTAACCTTCAGTAAGGATAGGTTCGATTAGGGACGAAAAATATAGCACCTCCAAAACCCGTTCCCCTACATTTTTTGTGGGGGTGCGTGTGTTAAGTAACCCGAAACTAATCACTGTCACAGAAGGGGGAGTGCAACCTGTGGGGGTCAACTAGCTTTCAAAAGATATCAGAAGAAACTCACTCTTCATCTTATATTATGCTTTTTCTCTTTCTAAGAAAAACTTACAAAATATTTTTTTAACTCTAAAACGACTTTATTTATTTTCAAAATAGTTTTATCATTTTATTTAACATGCACTTTTTCTAATTATATCTTGAATTGTTTATTATTTTGATTTGATTATTTAGAGAACTAATAATAACCAGAGTATTTAAATTTATAAAATTTTACTATGTAGTCATATGAAAGTAATTCATATAAAGTAACTACATTAAAAATAAATTTATATTTTCTCTATAGATCAAATAAAGTTTNATTTAAAAAATAAATTCCATTCTCAAAATGAATAAAAACAAGAAAATTATTACTACTAAATAAATAAAATGTATATAGAATGAACGAATTATCAGCAAATATAATTTTCATAATAAATTACAAGCTTATAACTAAAAAGAAAGCTATCGGTTTTTAAAGCGTTCCCCATATCAGTTCTTCAGAAGGACAGAGAGAGAAAAAGATTTTCAAAAGGGAGCAAGACCTCCCACCGAGAAGATTAGTGAACTTGGGGGTGGAAGTTGCCTTCCTCCCTTACTCAAAGGTAGAAAGTGACTTGTGTTTCAAAGGCAATATTACAAAAAGTAATAAAGATAAAAAAAATTAACCTACATTTTCGTGGATAGGAAAGATTGAAAAAATTATTAGTATTTTTTTTTAATTGATCACTCCGATTCTTGAACAAGAAAAATCGATTCAAAGTATGACAAGCCCGCCATAGACTTTACATGTTAAAAGCAGAATTGAGGAGTCTGCTTGGTGCAACACTTTTCTCCCGGCAACCACGATTCATGTCCCTGATTTTCTGATCATTTGAGCGCGCCCCGTGTTCTTTGTTCGCCAAGGCTAATATAATCAAGAAAACATTTTTTGTCAGAAATTTTTTATTATTTTTTTATTATGATAATGTAAAGCCTTCGGTAATTATTTTGTTTATATATATATATATTTGAAGAACACTTTTACAAATGGGGAAAAAATTTCTTATTAGTGCCCATATCCTAATTAGAATTTTTTCTTGGAAAAAATGCTTAAAATGTACTTATTTTTTGCTGAAAAATTTGGCTACTCCACTGATAGATATGACTAAATTTTTTCTTAATTGCATTAAGTTATTCATCATCTTACGATGATATACTTCATCAGCCTGAGCCTAAACTGGAAAAAAAAGAAGAAACAAAAGGGTAAATTATTATTATTTGTGTGTAATTATTTATGTAGTGTACAGTTTGCAGAAACAAATATGAAGGTATAACCTTAATAACCTTTATTTATTGACAGTTTTATCACATTGTAAGATGCAATCTTAATAGTTTGAGAGTCTGACTAATTAATTATTTATAAATTTATTCAGATCATATTTTAATTTTTGAAAGGAGACGCAGAAATATGTTTTCTTTGAATAAAATTTTTTTTCCTGTGAATTAAGATTTAAAAATCTTAAAATATGGAACACAGATACAATCTAAAAAATATGGTCCCAATAGTTTAGTCATGAGAGCTGTTGACACTTTAATGTTTATTTAAATTTCTTATTTCACTTGATCGCTGGGATTAGGTTTTCAAGCAAATAAAAAAAATTTCTTGCAATCAAAAAACTTGTTCTCCCAAAATTAATGATCTATAAAATATTTATGTATAATTAATTATGTATTAATTTGTGTTTCTTTTTGTTGAAAAATTTTGAATTGTTAAATCTACAAATTTCAATTTATAAGCAATTTTAAAATACAAAATTCAAACAAAACTGGTCAACTAGATTCTGAGTGACAAAAGACTTAATTTTAAAATTTTTATTTTGCAAGAACTTTTCGACTGATTTCTTGCATATATAAATAACTGCATGCAGTAAAGAACAATTTGTTTGCCTTAAAAGAGCTTCTATAAAATCATGTATAATTAAAAATTTAAGAAACAAATATGAAAAGATTGTAGTACCAGTAGTATAAAGACAATGTTACATAAAATATTTTATTTAAAGTTCAAAATTAAATATTTATTTTTAAGGTTAGCAAAGAAATTATTTTTATTGCATATCTTGAATACTTATGCATTTAGTATTTCATACTATTTCTGTTCATCCTGTTTAGTTGTGTATNAATGGCGGGAAAATTTACCAAATTTCGTTCCGGTTTTTTGGTTTTCTGATTTCCGGATAACGGGTTCTGTACTGTATTGTGTCAAAATGAAATGTTTTACTTTAACATTAAAAGTAAAATACAACAACATTAAATTTACAAAATTTTGAAAGATTTTTTTTTATGTTATTCACTTTTAGTAATTCTCAAAAATTTATTTAGGCCTCAAGCAATGACCTGTTTTAATTGTTTGGGTAATCATCATATGAAAGATTGTCAAGAAAAAATTGATCGTCAGAGGGTTAATGCTAATAAAAAAGACCTCATGCTTTCTACTAGCTCCAGGTAATTGTTTTACATAATTATCTGGTTAATGTCTAGACATCTGTTAAATAATAATTTTAAAAAATCCTGTTCAGAAAAATTAAAGCAATTTATTTTAATATTTCCTAGCCGATATCACATTGAAGAAAAAAGGAATGCAATTCTACCTGGATGCCCTAGGTAATTATATTCACTGTTTTAGTTAGTATTCAAATTATTTTAAAACGGTTCTTACTTTTTTTGCATTTGTTTGTAAAATTGACACTATTCAATTTAAGAGTTAAAGATCCTTTTCAGATAGAGAAAAGATTCTACTTTCTCCGTGTTAACCAAGAAAGAATTATATGAATGTAATATTTTTATTCACTAAGAAGCTAAAGAATGTTTTGGGATATTCTTGTTTAATTTTAATCCTTTAAATGTCAGTGATCTCTATAAATATTTGGACTATAACATGACAAATATCCCGAAAATCATAACGGGGGCATGAACGTTTTGTCACGTCCCTTAGAATGCATAATTCTCTGGTGTTAAAAAAGAGCTTTCGAACCAAACTTAGAAAAAAGTATTGGCAAATTTTTGATATACATGAACAGCTTTGTGAAGGAAGAAAGTAGTGACATTTTAATGAATTTGAGTAAATGAGCTTCAAAGTTTATATGTTCTTCATTCTTGTTACTTCCCTCAATCTTTATGTTTTTAGTATGTTTGTAAGAACCCAACCCATGATATTTTTGGAAATAAATTGATTTGACTCTAACGTTTTTATCGAAGAGGATTTTTATCGATATTTTTGCAGCATCTGCTTGTTTTTATGGTAGATTTTTAATGTTTTACAGTGAATATAGTTTTGTTTGAAAATTTTAAATAAATATATCTATATTTAAGGTTATATTCACAAAATAAAATTGTGGCAAGCTCATTTCGGAACAAACTGGCATCAAGTTTTATCTAACCTTGTTATTTTAAAAACTCTTAAGAGGTACAGTGTGAGCTCAGCATTTTCAGAGTAAAAGTTTCACCGATATTTATTACTGAAATTGGTGTGAATTCCGTAATAATTGATAATGGTAATGTTATGTCATCTTGTTACATCTAAAAGTTTTGTTACATCTAAGACTGAATAACGGCGTTTTCATTAGTTTTTTTAATACAAAAAATATCTATAGTTGGTCAGATGATTAATTATTTTAAATTTATTTCATTTGAAATTATCAGTTTAATGCAACAACAAAAAAATTAAATTTTAATAAAAAAAATTTTATCTCTATGGACATTTTTTCTAACATGGTAAACTACACAATTATGATTAGTTTCAAGGCTCATTTTTCCTCATAATTAAGGTCACCAGTTCACAAATTTCTGCCAATCAGAAAGTGGACAGCCAATCAGAACTCAGTGGATATGCAGCTTTTTTCATTTTCAACTTCTCAGCCTTGAATTTTAAAAAAAAAAAAAGAAGAGAGAACACCTTTTTAAATAGCCAGGTCACATTCACCATGAAGAAGAATTTTAAGCTAATCTAATCAATATTTGTGCGAAATGGAGATGAAAACCACACAAACCTCTCCTTGTTAGAATGGATCTCTGATCTATTTTTAGAAGATAATTTGTATCAACATTGCTCTCTCTGCAAGCAAGGAACAGAATAAAATTTTTCCATCTAATTCTGATTCGTTCATATGTAGACTTAATCAGTTTCTCCTGAGTTATGCTGATTTTTATTGAAAAGTTGCACCAATTTTTCCAAATATATAATGAGTATACTTAACATTTAAAATGTAGCGCTTAATATTTTAAGTGCGCACATGGATCTTAATAAAGACTGCTAATGAGCCTCTTGTTTTTTCCAATTTGAAAATAATAATTAGATAAAGAAAAAGTTTTTGATAATACGTATTCCTGATATTATGTTAATTGGTGCTGTTTTAATTAATATTATATACACTAATATAGGTATCAATACCTATTATAGGTAGTGGGAAAATAGGTTTTTTATAGCCCACCAAATAGAATAAGTACCAGAGAAAATTATTGATTATGATAATTTTTAACTATAAGGAGTTGGCGTTGAGCAATAGCGTAATCGCCAATTGATATTGAAAATCGTTAATATTTATTTTGATAGGATAAACTAGTAAAAACATGTTTTGCTTAATCTACTAAAGTAAAGTCATTAGGAAGAGCAATGAATAATAAATAAATAAGAAAACTGGAATTGTTTTAATTTAAATAATTGTGTCAGTATTTCTCTTTCAACCTTGTACATAATTTTGTAGCATTGATGATTGCAGATTGATTATTTAATTTTTTACAACCCTTTTGAAGAGTGAGTTTTCCACCTGTAAAATTTGCATAAACAGAAGAAAATATTTATTAGACTGATCGTAAAGACGAGATTCCCGTTAGAACACTGAAGTCAAGCATCACTGGCTACGGTCAGTAAACAGGTGGGCAACCACTTTGATCAGCCTGTGTAGGGACCGAGGGTGCACGGCATCGGTCACCGTTAAAATGTTCTGCCGTAAAGTGCCTGACTTCGCGAGCAGGTCATCAGGCTGCCAAAGCAGGTTAGCCTTCCCCTCTGCAGAGGATCAAAATTGTGATGTCATGTCTTCGATCATCCTCAGGGATGTTTTCCAGACCGTCACCAATAGCCCATTGTCCAGCTCTAGTGCGATGTAAATAAAGTACCTACCTACCTTATTTTTAATGCCACTTCACACAAAAAAAAAAACAATTTTCTTTAAATAACAGATCAGTGTGTCTGATACACAAAGATATAAATCAGATACACTGAAATTATATATTAAAGCACTTTAAGGTCTATTTTTTCTTTTTCTATTATTGATTAGTAAAAGAATCTACGTTCCTTGATGTATCAAAGCTTCTGTTCAGGTTTTTTATTTTCTCCATAGTTCCTTTACTTCTGCACTTTACATTTGATGCCATGCGAGGGATTTATTAGGATCGTTTGTTGACTGTTTGTCGCCATGTACACTTATCTTGTTCTTCCACTCTGAAAATACTCAAATATTGTCACTTTCTTCCTTGAGTATCTTTTGAATTAATAGATTTAGCAATGTAAATGAATGGTTTATGCTTAGATAAGAACTTTCCATGAGAAATCTCAAATTATTTTAAAATAGTCCTTACCTGTTTCATCAACTCAGCTCTTCATTTACGAAAAAATTCTTTTTCTTCTTTATTAATAGCTGAAGAAGAAAATTAAAATAATTCTTATTACCTAATTAAATAATTCTAGTTTAATTTCCTTGATGCAGTTTAAATCAATCCTAATTAAAAATCTTGATTGTTCACATCACTTCTTGTTTCAAAAATGTTTGTTATGTCCATCAATAGGCAGAATAATTATGCATGTGATTTGCCAAAGAGAATATTTGTAAATGTGATTATTAATAATTGGATAAAGTAGTAGATTAAGATTAGATTAAAAATTGGAAGGGGAGTTGCCATGGATAGGAGGCTTCGGCATTTGTCAGCTGTTGAGGCAGCCAAGGCCTGCAAAAGGCTGTTGCGCTGGCAAGGAAGAAAAAGAAGATAAAGTAGTAGAGAATTCATTTTTTAAATTAGAACCTAATTGTAAAAAGAAAACCTAGAAATAGGGAAGTCCTGAGTCCAAAGGACCCGTACTTTCGCAAGTCTAGTCAAATCACTGAATGTGTCTCCTTGAACTTATTCACAAAATTTTATAGTCGTAATTTTTAACAGAAAGTATTTCAATTAAAGTTAAATAAAAAATATTAATATAAAATAAGGACAATGAATTAATTTAATTCTCCATAGGTTTGCATAAATGAATTAGAATAAATGAATTAGAATAAAGGGTCTGTATGAAGGGAACCTTTTAGTTTGTTATTATCATTTTAAAACCTCTTATTTTTATCAATCTTTTATAATTGTAGTGCTAACCTGCGCGATGCTCTCAGTTTAAGAGATAATCAGCTCCCACCTTACATTTACGCTATGAGAGTGATTGGATATCCTCCTGGATGGATGATAGAAGCTGAACATGAGACATCTGGATTATCTTTGTATAATGATTCACTTGATAAAAGTAATTTCTATTATTTATTTATTGTATTTTTTGGTGTACATTTTGAATTTATTTATTAGGAATGTACGAAAAAAGTCAAAATAATGTTAAACCATTTCTTAATCCTCCATCTTTACATGAACATAATAACATGAATTCTACATCAAATAAGCTTTTATTTATTTATTTTATAATTTTAGTATATTATCGTTTTTTTAAAATTGCTTTAAATTTATCAAAATATACTTTTGCTACTTATAAATGGATATTTATTCACAAATATATGAATAAACAGTAACTTAAATTATAGCTCTTTTATTTAAAACTAATAAAGCATTTATTTACTAGAAGCAGGACAATGGGACAATACATCCCAAGTGCCCGCTATTAAAAAAAAAAGAAATTGTGAGAAGCTATTTATTTGTATGTCTTAGCTTATTTATATTTTTTGTTTTGCTATCAATCATTTATTAAACTATAACTTAAGTGGAAAATGTTTGGTTTGTAAAATTTTATTAGCACTGCCTCTGTTTCTTTATCCATATCTATCGACAAAAAAAATATAAAATATAAAAAAATATCTGATAGTAGAAGAGCTTTTATTTTCTACAGAAATTTTAATTAAATTTAGAGTATTAATTTAAAAAAATATATAATTATTAATTATTCGGATTTACTGGGAGATTGCATATCTACTAATTTTTTTAGAATTATTTAATTTTATCTTTACTTGTAGTAACATAACTTTGCAATATGTAACCTGGCAAAAATGATTGGTTAATTATGACCATGGTCTATTGAAATATTTTTCTTGTTTTTTAAAGTTAAATTTATTCACGTTGGAACACTGTAAAAACAAAATTGATTATTATAAATATTATTCTTAGTGCCCAAAAAGTTGCATCACATAAAAATATTTGTCTACCACAATTTTTTAATAAAATTGAAACTCTTACCTTTGGCATCAGAAATTATTAATGTGTTAGTATAATTTATGAAATTCAATCAAAGAATGAAACTGATGTAAACAAATTTAAAAAAGGCAAAATAGGAATATAACATTTAAAATAATAATAAGTCAAAATGGAAAAACGCTAAAAGCAGCTAAAACCATGATATGGCACATTATATTTTATTTTGATTTGGTTATTCTAACTGTAATTTTATCTTTATTTTTCTTATATGTGGACGTTTCATTATTAGTTTTTTCTCTGTGTTCTTTTGACTTGTGTATGTGTGTCATTAAATTTTCATTTCATTTACATTTCAATCTTAGAATTTTTGATTGCCTTTTCTTATTTAATTTATCCATTATAGGGCCTCGGGGCACAGTCAGTTTTTGGTATTACCACTGACGACAGAAAGGCTCTTGTATGTTAGCAGACAGTGTCCCCCCCCCAATAAATGGCTGTTTTTGCTAATGTACATGTCTTCAGAAATTCTTTCTTTGCTTGATTTATGTTTCTAAATTGTATAATTTAAGTAAAACATTCCCACAAGAGCCCATTGTGGGCCAGGAACGTCATGGAAGTGAAGGCTCTGCATTTTTGTGATCAGGAACTTGTTTGTGGCAATGTGGTCAGCGCTGGGCACAGGCCATCTTCCCAACCTCCCCACTTGCCTTCCAAGACAAACTGGGTGAGCTCCAAGCTGACCCAGGGAATCGAACTCAAGTTCTTCATAATGACTGTCCAGTGCTTTAATCACTGGGTCTTCGTGGCTAGTTATTATAATGTATATACAATTGATTTATTTCAATTTAATGATAAATAGAAAGTACTTTATTCAAAGCAACTATTTTAAACTTTTAACAACTAATATATCAGTTTCACATAAACAAATTATAAACTTTCCTTTTTAATCAAATTTCATATATAGATTTACTTATTTTGATAAAATTAGTTAGCTTTTGACACATCATTGAACACAAAGAAATTGACATACTTATGGAGTATTATTGCAAAACTTACTGCAATTGATAAGATAATTAGTAAAAAAGCTCTTTTTTATAATTTCACTCTCGATCGACTTATCTACAATGTCAACATTCTTCTATGAAAAGTTTCCCCTACATAGAATTGAGTTAACATGTCTTATATACAGGGTTGGCAGGTTTTTGACATGTGACAGTTTTTGACAGTTTAAACCATGGTTTAAANAGTTGCTCAAAACTAATATGCCTTGTTAAATCATTACATATCTTCAACACTGCCAAATTATGTTGTGAAGTTTTGAATTTAATAATCTTAAAAATATATATTTTTGAAAAAGTTAATAAGTTTATTGGGTTAAGTATCATCTAATCAAAGAAATATTATTTTGCGAACAACATGTTTAAAGTTAATATCACAACAAATATTTTGATATTGAAAAGTTTGTTTCCAAAAGTTACAATTTCAGTAAATTTGCACAAATTTTATCCCATACTCTATTATCAATAGTTTTTATTGCAGTTGCTGAAAACTAATATGCCTTGTTAAATCATTACTTATCTTCAACACTGCCAAATTATGTTGTGAAGTTTTGAATTTAATAATCTTAAAAATATATATTTTTGAAAAAGTTAATAAGTTTATTGGGTTATGTATCATTCTAATCAAAGAAATATTATTTTGCGAACAACATGTTTAAAGTTAATATCACAACAAATATTTTGATATTGAAAAGTTTGTTTCCAAAAGTTACTATTTCAGTAAATTTGCACAAAATTTATCCTATTCTATGTGCATTCTATTTTTGAAACCTTTCCATTACTAAATTTGTTTCATAAATGTTAGAATAACAAGAACTGTTTTTGTTAACATAGTTAATTTTATTGTTTTTATTTTCATTTTAATTATAAAGTTAAGATAATTATGTGGACAAAGTTTTTATTTTTGTTTTTTTCCCCCTTGTTATGCAGGCTTTATTGTGTTTTATAGTGCTGCAATTTTTAATTTATTTTTAGTGTGTATCTGAAAGTCCTGTTTTTAAATTTAATTTTTTAATTATTCGTTATTGAAAATATCTCCAATGATTTTTACTGTTTATACTTCTTTTATATATATTTTAGAGGTATATGTTATTTTGTATACTTACTTTTTGGCAATAATTTATTGGATAAATTTTTTTAAAATTTTAACAAGTGTAAAATTCAGTTAAATACTATTTTTAAAAGTGTTTTCTATATTGTATACTTTTATGTATTTTAAAATCTTTGAAATATAATTTTCTCAGGATGCATTGAAAAACTAATGTAATTTTCGTAGTTTATTAATTTTTTGAAGATATTGATTTTAAATGTCTTTGACTCTATAATATATTTTATGATATTAATTATTTTGTCATCAAGAACTATGCTTAACACCTAAAAGAGTTTAAGAATTTGAGATGATGTATGTATTCATATTCATTTTATTTTTATTGCTTTATTTTTACTATATTTAATTTGTCATATTTTCTAGGTATTTCTGAAATTAATTCCTCGAAAATGACAAGAGAAGAAAGTGGGTGGCATTTTATTGTTTATTATTATTATTTTCATATATTTAATATTTATCACTTGTTTTTTTTATTTTTTATTCCATATGTTGATTTTGACCTCACATTTTAGTTTTATTGTATAATTTTTTTTTTATTAAGAAAACATTTTTAGCTTTTGGATATATCTTTTACGTACCCTATAAACATTTTCACAGTTACAAATAAAGATGCAATTAATTTATTCCAATATATTTCTAGAATAAATAAAATTTATAGTATTTTATATTTATATAGTTTGTGTTCTTTAGAATGATCCTTTCCAACTTTGACTCTTCCATTACAACAACCAACACATAAAGTTTCCATTGTCATTCCATAAATGCAAAGCTCCATAATGCCCAACTAAAATGTTCAAATTGAACGTTTAATTATTTGTAATGTGCAATATTGTTTTTATTTATTTATTTTTAAAAATATAATTTAAGAAATAAATGTACAAAAAATAAAAAAAAAGTATTGTGAAGATTGCAAAAAGAAATATTTAAACCCTATTTCTTTTAGTTTTTATTGCACAATAATAAACTTAAATTTTTATTGAATTAGGGACAAACTCTCTAACTTTTTATTTGACATGTATGAAAGTTTTTAAACCTTTTTTTTTGTTGTTGTATGGTGCTTTATTTTTTAGTCTTTCAAATAGTCTATATTTTCTTAAAAACATAATAGCTAAATCTTAAAAATTAAATCATTCTCAAAATGAAGCCTAAATGACAACTTGTTCAAAAAAAGTTTAAATTTTGAGTTATTGCTCTTAAAAATCAAATCACTCATTCATGGGGTTTTAGAACCTACCTTCTATCTATTTTCTGTCTATTACCTAAAATCTATTTTCGATGGTCATAGTCTGCATCGAGAAAATATGAAATATTGATCACTTTACACAACATTATTGCTAATCAAAAAAAAAAAAATTCAATATCCCATTTCAATTTATTCAGCTCAGATGTTGAATTAATGAAATTAATAGGTTAAATTAATAATATTTGTAAATTTTGTTTTAAAGAGAGCAATAAATTTAGATTTTTCTTACTTGAAATTTTTCCAGTTAGCACATGTGGTGTTCATGCTTCTAAATTCACTTATGTTCACGGGATGCATCTATTTAAATTTTTTTCTTAAGAATATTCTCAAATATTTTATTAGTTCATTATGCATATAGTATTTAAATGAATGGGAACTTATTGTAAATTTCAATAAAATAAAACAAGTTATCCTTTTTTTTAATAATTTGTTACTTGAAGTATTTCTGGATGTTAATATTTGCTACCCTTTTTGTAAAGCTGCAGCGTTAATTTGTTTCCGTTTGGATTATGTTGCTTATTATAGTGAGTGTCATTGCTCAGTGTATGCAGGTACATGTCTAAGGACAAGAAAATTGGCAACTCAGTGTTAAGTTACTTTTTAAATAATTGTGTGTTATTTTGAACAAATCTATAAAAGGGAAATGTATACATGGGTTCAGTATTAAATGGTGTCTGAACAAAAGCCATTTCAAAGCTTGCCATTCCTTAATCTTAAGACATAAAGTATACCATATTTTTGACTTAATATTTCTTCACTCCTAAATTTCCAATACAATTAGCAGACAAGGATGAGGCTTTGAACTTAAAAGGCTGCCATACCACGGGAGAAACTTTTCATCACAAATTCTCCTTCACATCCATTACTAGTTTAAAATATAGAAAAAGTGAGTTCTGACAAACCTAGAGAAACCCATGGACACTGAAAATTAATTTTTAAAATATCAAAATGAAAATAAATTATACTTAAAATTACGCAACAGAGAAGCTTTCTACCTATATTTTGTTTAAATTTTGATATTTTGATTTTTTTTTTCAAGCAATTGAAACTTCATGGATTACTCTAGGTTTTCCTGAACTCATTTTTTCTTTTTTTAAAATTTGTAATGGAGAGGAAAGAGAATTTGTGATTAAAAATTTCTCTTGTGATATGACGTCCTATTTAGATTTCATTTACGTGCCTAGATTTTGTGATATTTATTGTGAAATTTTTTGAGGATAATTTTTCTTACATAGTTTCACTTTATTTAAAATAATTGAATTTTTTAAATTTTTTTTTTTAAAAGATTATTATGGTATAAGTAGTTCAGTTTAACTTTTACAATCTTTATTTTTTCGTTAGTATAAAACTATTCTGTTTTGAATACTTAACTATAACTTTTGTATTGTGTGATACTGAAAAAGCATTACTTTTTAAATTGAAACTTTATATAGTTGTCAGCTAATTAATTTATTTATTTAAATCAAGTAAAACTTCTGCTAAGAAGATGAAGTCTTTTTTGTTGAAGTTATTTTCATTCTTAAAAAAGACCTTTTAAAATGTATAGTTTTTTTTCTTATAAAAGTAATTATTTAGTATAATATTCAATTAATGTTTACTCTTATTCACAAAAATAAAATGCTTTCTTTTAACATTGCTCTAGCATTGTATGACTCTGAAAGATTTGTGAGTTATCCTGGTTTCAACAGCCCTGTCCCAGACGGTTTTAAAGATGTAAGTTTAATTTAACAATTTTTAAATTTTATAGTCTAATTCTATTTCTTATTTAATTTTGCAAAAAACAATATATTATATGTTTATTTGTAAGACTATTCTTTATTGTGATACATTAAAAACTTTTTACATGTAATTTAAAAGTTATTAGAATGTTTAAAAAATGCATTAAGATGTTTGATTTGTTAGTTACATTTAGGGTTGGTTTATTAGTTGGTTAGATGACGGTTTTAAAGATTTAAGTTCAATTTTAAAAAAATTTAATTAATAGTCTAATTCTATTTCTTATTTAATTTTACAATATATATATATTATATGTTTATATGTAAGACTATCCTTTATTGTGATATATTAAAAACTTTTTACATATAATTTAAAAGTTATTAGAATGTTTAAAAACATTAAGATGTTTGATTTGTTAGATCCATTTAGTGTTGGTTTATTTGCTATTATTTTAATAATAAATCATAAACTAAATAATTGCCCATGAAAGCTTAATAAGGACTTAAAAAAGTTCTGTAAAATTATGCCTGTGATGTGAAAGAATACAAGTAAAATGAAATTATAATTTTATTTTAAAAAAATATGTTTCATTTTCATGTCTTACTGATAGATTAAAAATTATTTTTTTATAATATTCTATTAATTTTTGTAACTATTAAAATTTCATGTAGCTAATTTAAACTAATCTTTATATTAGATCAAGAAATAAAACGTGATAACTTTTTTACTGATTTTATATTTTTTTTATGATACAATTGTAAGAACAATAATTATAATATTAAAATAGTTTTGAGGATTAAAAGTGTTGCAAATTTTGAAGATATTAGTTTTCAATTGACGAACTTTGAAATAAGCTTACGTGCAAGCTTATGATAAGTTAATGCTTAAGCATAATAGCTTTTAGTGGTTTGGTGAAATGTATATGATTTTTGAAATATATATTTAACTTAAGCAGTTATTATTTATACTAAGCAATTTATTATTATTATTAATAATTTTTAACTTACATTGATTATTAGTTTTCTCCCTATACTTTATAACTTAAATAAACTAAACTAAACCTACTACTGAACCTTATAGGCCATTTTTTATTATTATTTACATTTTTTACGGTAAAACTTTTCATGAAACTCTCTTTCTATCCTGCTTCTTTAAGCTTTTTTGAAGTTTTTTTTCTTATCACTTATGTTAGAAATTAAATAAATTCATTTGTATATCATGATGCTAAATGTTGGCTTGTATTCAAAGATGATATAAATTAGAATTTAAGCTTCAAAAAAATTTGAAATTCTATATTGATATTATAAGTATATTTCATTCCCTTTTGTTGGTAATAATAACTAAAATATCTTGATTTTTAGGAATGGACTACATTTGGTTGGTGTCCTATTCAACCACACCAACAACTGAGTCAAGCATTAAAGCAAACTAATACAATTGTAAGTATAAATTTTTCAATTCTATGTAGCTATAATGTGATTCAGTGTATTTAAAAAAAAATTAAATATTTAATTAGTATGTAATCTCTTTTTTTTTCTTGACTTTAAAGAGAAATTCTATGGTGACTGACTTTACATTTTAAGATACTGGAAAATAGTGAAATAATATAATGAAGATTTTAATAACCTTTTTTCAATTATTTAAAAATGCTTAAGAACAACTAATTAAGAACAAGTAATTTGTTACTGGAGGAATACTATTGAAAGTTTTCTTTTGTTACGTTGTCCTTCTTATCATGGATTTGCCCTAAAAACATGTAAAAACTAAAAACATTGTTTTCAAATTTCATATAAAAAAGTTGAATATCATAATCTTGTTTCTTTGCTTAAAGATTTTTTTAAAATGCTTCTTTGTAATTAAGAGTAGAATTAAATTATTTGAAATATGTTTCTTAAAGAGAAGTAAACCTCTTAATTAATTGTTTCTTAAGTTTTTTTTTTAATAAGTTTCCTCTAACTTGCACATATTTCTGACTGCAAGTAGCAACTAATTTGAAATTTAAATATGTGCTTGCTCATTTATTAATAAAATTTTATAATACTTACTTATAAGATGTTTGTTTTTGTATTTCAGTACATAACTAAATTGTGTCAATTCTGAAATGAAAATCTGGATTGTTTCTAGTAAAAAATTTGCATAAAAACATGGGTGTCCAAAAAGTTTCCATATTAAAAATTAAGATAATTTTTTGTACAGAATTATTTAAACACAAATTAGTCATTTTGATAATAATTTATATAAAAAACAAATTTTAACATCATACTAAATAACTCAAACTTAAAATTTTGGAATAAATGGAACCCAATAACTCATTTTGTATATTTTGAAAAGTGATTACATTCAAAGTGATCCCTAGAATTTATTGTGTAATTAAAATTTTCTGATCATGGATTGCCTAAAAGTTTGGAAATGTTCAATTTTTCATCACAAATGGCGAAAATCAAGAAGTTAAACATGACAATACCAACAAAATAATGAATGCCCCAAAACCAGTGATGTGTGGTTGATTTTCCATGTAGTGTTTGGTATCCTATTATGGCTTTGTTTTACTTTTATATTAATTTTTAAAGTAATATATGAGTTCCAAATGTTTATTTCTGTCTGTCTGTACATTCTGGGCAGTTGGATTGGATATCTTCTTAAAATGCACATAAAAAGTCAGGGGAAAGAGACTTACGCTTCTGTTTGAATATCAACAATGTCAATTATCTACCAACTATTTTCTAGTAACTAGTATTTTGAATGTCTTTACAAAATATAACACCACATGTGAATGTAATTTACGTTGCTAAAATCTTTTTATGTCTTTCAACTAAAATCCTTTTGTGTACGTGTATTTGTGTAATTTTTAAAATTGTGTGCAAATTTTTAGTCTGCAATTTAAACGTACGGAAAAGTAAATGATTAATGTTAAACTATGTAAACCACCTGAGAAGTTTATAAAAAGAAATTAACGCATTGAAAGATGAAGTTAGAAAATACTGTTTGAACTATCCTGGTTTTCATTCTTATTGATTTTTAACGAAAATTGCATTTCTTTTATTAAAAATTTTTTTTAAAGGAAGTTTTATTAAAACATTTTTTAAATAGTAGTAGAAACCTATTTCTTAAATAGTTTTCTATTAGTTTAGTAGAGTTTTAGTTTTAGTAGAGTTTATTCCAATTTTAATCAAATATTGCACAGTAGATAATGTTTTTTTTTAAGCAATGACTTCTATTCTAGTTATTGCGTACACTCAGGGGCAAAACTTTTAAAACATGCTCTTAGCAAAATCTGAGGGAAAGCAATGTTCATTTTAATTTTTTAAAAATGTCATACAATGCCACGATCAAAAAATCCATTTTATAAAAACTAAATTTGACTCTATTTTTGAAGAAGAAATGTGCAGCATGCATGTATGTCTTTGTACATGCAGAATTAGCTTACAAAATATGTGTTGCAAAATCTTACTATGACATTTCTTCGAATAAGTAAATTTATATCAATGTAAATTATTTTATTATTAAATTACTAAACAGTCAGAACCTTATCTCTTCAACTCATATTCTTGAATAGGAAAAGTTGTAGCTCTTGAATGTGTAATTCAAAATAAATTTAGATTACAGAATGTATAAAATTAGTGTAATACAAAAGTAAAATCAAATGCCTGTCATGATTTTTAAAATTTAAAAATCTTATTCTGAAACTGTATGCATAAACCATTCATTTTTGTTTAGTAATCCTCCTTCTTTACAGTTTTGTATGTAATTTTCAAAATTTGGTTAATTTAGTTTGTTTAAATAGCATTCATTTCTATAATTCATAAGATTTTTGTAAATATGAAATTTTATTCTTACATGCTAAAAACAGGATTCATGGTTGTCCTGTTATTCTTGATAAAAAATATGTGGTCCTGATTTTTATTTTTTTATTCTGATAATCCTAATTGTGAATCTACAGAACAAACCCACCTTCAATGAATACAAATACGGATCATTGATTTGAAAAATCAAGAAATTTGAATTTTCAATTCTTTTTATCTTAATTTTTGCTGGTAGTTAAAGTTGCAAAATTTGGTCATTCAAACCATGCACTAATTATATGCATGGTTCAAATAAATGGCCCTAACCACAGATTTAAACTTTTGGGGGATTCAGTAAATTTGTGGAGAAAAAAATTATTTACCTTTTTTTTAATAATTAAAATTTTTTTGGTGATAAGGCACATATTTATTATTTCCAGCAAATGTATTAGTCTTGCATTTTCCAATAATTAATTAATCTGATTTCAAAAATGATCATTTCCAATCAACAATAAAGTAATTATATCATTGAATTTTTAAATGATCATTCAGTAAATTACTTTTCTACAAAGATGTTAGGCACTTTGTTATCGTTTCGAAATTATTGACACACCAGTTTAAAATTATTTTATTATGAAAATATAGAACGCTATTACAAATTTAGATAAATTTTGGTATGAGGTAATATGAACTACTTGATACCGGTTATTTTTTCATGCAACAGTAGTATAAAAATGTTCAATATATATTGATCCTAAACTACTATGATTTTCTCAGTGTTCCATTAATAAAATTATACTGGAAACTGTTAAAACTTTCTGTTCTCAGGAAAATAATTCTGAAATTGAAAATAGTATATTTTATTACTCTTTTGAGATAAAATTTACCTTTATTGTACTTAAGTAGAGCATATTATACTTCTTTGAGTATGTCTTTTTTAAAAGTACTTTGACTTATCTCTACTGTTCCAAATGCTGTCCTGATTTTTTAATTTTTGTATTAAAAAATTTATTATTCTGATTAAATAATAAAGGCGCTCTGTAAGTGCAGTCGATTAGGGTGTCCCTTACACTGTTGGTAGAGAAATGAGGTTTGCAAGTTCCATTCTAAAGTGTGACTAAACAACCAGTGTGAGCCGCGATGGCTCAGGGGATAGAGCGTTCGCCTTCCAATGAGGCAAACCGGGTTCGAATCCCAGTCGATGATATGAATTCCGCATCCGGCTTGTGCTGACGTGAAATATCCACAGTGGTAGACAGATCACGGGTTAGAGTCCTCTTGCCATCAGGCTAACCGTTGGAGGTTCTCGTTGTCTTCCTCTCCATGTTACGCAAATGCGAGTTAGCTCCATCAAAAAGTTCTCCACGAAGGCAAATTTCTCGAAATACTTGATCCATGAGTTCCCTTGTCTTCTGGATTGGGTTCAAAATTACAAGGATACAAAGTTGAACATTAGTAGTTGTAAACCCATAAAATTGGGTCGGCTGTTCAAGGACGGATATAAAAACAAAATTAAAAATTAAAAAAACTGTGTGTATTTACAGCAAGGTGCACATATACATTAAATCTGTAGTGGATAAAAGTTCCATTATTAATACTGTCTTCACCATCTAAATGGGGAAAAAAGTGTTTGGGCAATTTGACCATTAAAACAAAGAGAGTCTTTGAAATTTAGGACAGGTATTTGATCAGTGATTAAATAAATGCTATTCTTTAAAAAAAGGAGTAGAACAAGATTTCTATATTAAATATCAACTTGTTTAATTATATAAGATTTGAATTGTTTAATCTATTTCATCTCTATGTATCTATATTTTTTCTTTTATGTGAATAAAATGTTGTACTCCATTAAAATTTTATTAATGTTGTAAAATTTTTAATTTTAATAGAGCAGTAAAAATTTGTATAAACGAAAATTCCAACCATCTACAAGCAGTGAAGAAATTAAAAAATCTAAAAGTGGTAAGAAGCAAAATATTCTTCTCTAAATTTCTAAACATCAATTCTAATTAGTCCCAGTTAATTTTAATTTGTAACTTAATATTTTCTATTTTTTCTTTTCAATCAGGAACGAATGAGGGTAACAATTCAAAATTATGCTGGTCACCTCAATCTAGCTCGACGCCTGACAAACTTTCAATACCAGATTTTCGATTTAGCGAAAATAATTGCGAAAGCCCGATTTCACAAAAAAGTCTAAGCTCATTGTCGAAATCTCCGGGTACACCGATAGTAGGGCACGGTAACCCTTTCCTGAGACTACCCAGTGCGGATAAATTTGCTCAAGATATTACAGACCACATGGATTTCGAAAATCTTCCAGACGCCGTTGGGAAATACGACAATATGAGAAATGTCCTAACTAATGTGCAAAAAAAGCTTCAAGATATTAAACAAAATATTGAAGGTGATGGTAACAAGGAATGCCAGAGTTAATGTTAAAGGGATATTTCTGTTAATGTAGCACAATCTCATGACGCATACATGTATTTAAATTTTGCTAAATATGCAATTCAAGGTTTTAAAATCATCTCGTCATAGTGAAACTCAATAAGTACAAAAGGACATTCTTTCTTCAACTTTTAAATGTTTTTTTTCTTTTGCATTTAATTTTAAGAAAAAGTTGAATGAATCTTTTGGCTGGTATTCATATGTGCTACCAAGCAGGTTATCTATAATTGTACATATAAGAAATGTGTTATTTATTAGATACAATATGTTAGAAAGTTCTTTATCTCTCTTGTCCGACTTCTTTTTCTTCCTTTAAAACAAATTACCGACGTCCAAAATTAAATTTATTTAATGCCTTTTTCAAAATACATGCTTGTAAAACATTGTTTTTTTATATTGTAATTAATTTAAAATTTATTTAACTGGATTTTAAAATTGTATGACTATTTTTTTTCTTACTTGTACATATATTTCTGAATTAACACTATCTTCTGTAAATTACCAGAAATAAATTGATAATTATGTCTGAGTGTTAGGAGCCATGCAAAAAATACAAAAGAAAGTTTTTTGTGATTTTGGTTCTTCTCCTCTCTTTTCTGAATAAATAAGCACATCAAAAACTTTGCTGATGTAAGATTTATTTTCTTCGAATGTAATTTTTTATTAAAATTTTACAAGGACTTCTTTCACAATGAAGGGAAACTAATGTTTTTTGTACAACTATTCCTCTTTCCCGTCATCGGCAAAAAAAAGCAAATTGCAAACTATCTTCCTGCTTAAGTGATAATCCCGTGACATTTTTACATCCTCTTATTTGGTTTAGCTTTTAAGTTACATTAAGATTAAATTTTGTATCCAATTCAAATATTGATACCATATTTGCAAAGTAATGCTTTAAAGATTCATGTCTCATGCCACCGAGAAATTTCTACTTTCATTTTCACAAAATAGTTCTTTATAACCCTTTCACATGTGTAAATATTCTAAAAGCTATAAGTAAAAATGCGTTAGATATGTATTTTATTAAAGTGCAATACAACATATATAAAAGCAATTATTGCATGAAAAAAAAACTTTTTTTGGTAGAGCTTGATCACATCACATTAAAACATTGTGTCAATAATCAAATATAAACTATCTAATAATCTTTAAATTTCTCATAAGAAAATATTTAGCTATTTACCATATATGTCTACAAAATAATTTTTAAAAAAAAATTCATTTTATAGATATTACTGGCAAAGTGTAAAATGCTGGCATTCTGTTACCGGCTGTTCTGTTTTATATGTTACCGGCAAAGTTTGAAATCTGGCATTCTATAGAATGCCTAGGCATTGTATATAATGCCTAAAACTAGCCGACAATGTATGAAACGATTTATATTTCACACATTTCCGAACCATTCTATAGAATGCCAAATGAGAAACCAGCTAAGTATAAAATGTATCTCTGATTCGTCAAAATGTCAAATTCAAAATTTCATTCAAGCCTGCCATGTTGCAACATGTAGGTTAATTTTTTATTTTTTATATGAAAATTTTGTTTCCCTTAATAAGAAAGGCATAGAATATGTTTATACAACTTTCATTTTTCTTTACGCATTTTGAATTAAAAAAATATTATTTCAGAATATTATATATATTTTTTCAGAACAAAATTATTTTTTTTGAGAAATGCACATCATCTACATAATAAATAGCCTCTTCAAGACGTTTTTTTTTTTCATACTTTGCATAAATAGCATTTGTCATTCTATAGAATGCCTAGGTGTTATATACAATGCTAGATATTATATACAATGCTAGGTATTATATACAATGCTAGGTATTATATACAATGCTCTCATATTTCATACCTTGCCTCAAAACATCCAACATTGGTACAATGCCTAGGCATTCTATAGAATGCCAGCATTTTACACTTTGCCAGTAAGATATATGATATGTTATACAAATGTCGACAATCCACGAATCTAACAAAACTATATCGTAATACAAGGGGGTTTTGTGACCTGCTCACCAACCTTACACTTATCATTTCATTTTTCTAATTACTTATCACTCATTTTTATTTCTTGATGATAAATAAATTTATTAATCAAACTTATTCAACTGAAAGTCAATTGAAACTTAAAATGTTTTATTCTATTAACACAAATTTTGTTCAACATATTAAGTTCTTCATTCTGTTGGGTTAAAATTCAAACCTAAACATTTTGCTTGTAAGCATTGCAACTTTATCCACAAATTAATTTTCAATATTTAGTTTTTAATTACAATGTAAACTGATAAAGTGTTTATGAACTAAAAAAAAAAACCCAAAGAGTTCATTCAGCAAAAGTGTAGATAGTCAATTCCTTACTTCAAAACTTAAACTAATTATTTTTTGAAAGATATTTTAATTGCACATGCTTACTTACTATAAACAGCTTTGGGTAAAATGTATATTATAAAAATAAATTCAGCCTTTTTTTTCTCGATTATATGTAAAATATTCTAGTTACAAGCATCGACCTATTGAAAATTTCAGAAATTAATTAATTAGGAAGTGAATTAATTTTTTTTTCTTTTAAAATATTGTTTAAAAAAATAATAGTGTATTTACTCATTTAAGTACTCATCTTAGTATTTTACTCTTGTCTTTTTAAAATAATTTTGTGACACTTATTAATATTCATATATGTAACAACAATTTGGTTTTTATAATTTAAAATTAGATATATTTAAAATAAGCGAAAAAATAAAGAGAATTTATAAAAAAGTTTTCTCAAAAAAAAAATATTTTTTCTTTTTAAAGTTTTTAATGTTATTTCCTATATTTTCTCCTATGTTAAGCATTTTTAAAGGAACATTAAGGTAAAATTTAAAGAAGAAAAATTACTTCAGGTTAGTTTCATAAAAAGTAGACTTGTGAAAATTTATTGTAAAAAGGAGCTATAAAAGTTAGGATATTAATATTTGACTATAGTGTGAAGTGTGTTTAGTTAAATAAAAATCTGAAATTTTTTTATTCTTATAAAACCTTTATCCTAATACTGATTCTTCAATTTGGTTGCATAAATTTTATGATTTATTAGAAGTTTTCCTGTATTAACTTTTTAAATGAAATTTTAAATTCACAAGTAGGGCAAAAATTTGTTATTGGGAGATCAATTATGTTTTAGTATGCATAAGGGGTACTTTTTTTTTTTCAACTGTGAAATATCTTTTTTAAACTAATTAATGCTGTAAAATAATCAGTATTTCATTACCCTGCTTGTATCTGTTAAGGGATTATGTTATGCTTATTTCTCATTTCTATTAGGTCTCTAGATGTTCCAAGCCTATTGTGTAGTAACTCATTTCCAAACAATCATTCTTTGCCTTTTGTTCTTTCTAATTAATATATTTTCAATAAGCATACTAATTTTTGCACTGTCGTCCATATAATAATTATGAAATTATTATTTTTCTCCTACCCCCCCTTTTTTTTTTTTT